TCAGAACTGCCGATTTGAATGCACCCAACGAAACAACCAGACTCAGGATGTTGAAACCACGTGAGATTCACAGAAGACCAATCAAAAAACACGGAGACCGACTCCAGAACTACCAAATACTGTTTAGAATCTATATAATCACAGGCAGAAGAGGAGGAATTCACCCACTCAACCCTGCACTGACGATGTCACCTCGATTGGTGATGAAACGCTTGCAATCCAACTGCCAAGCTTGGCGAACAGACCAACAACCAAACAACGCACCCGAGCTACCTACATTCCACAACATTGCTAGCATGAACTGTCTACTTCGTTTTGTATATCACGATAAAACTGCGTTGTATTTGACTGATTGATACATTTTTCGAGTACAACTCGCGTGATTACCTTACTTATACAAATCAAAAAGAGTGCAGGATACCTGTCAGTTTGATTGGTTTCAGAATGTGTGAAATGTCGGAGAATCAGTACATCACAAACGAAACTGCACCGGCTTTCCATTATTATAGAAGCATACCCGTTTCTATGCTCCATACTTACGTGCGTGTACTGAGCGTGAAAGAAGAAGGCGCCGACCTTACTGGGATTGAATCAAAATTATATGAGCCCATAAACAACTGTGTGTGGGACTATTCACGTAGTCGGCATGTACACTGATATATGCATGCACAAATTATTACGAGAGACAAAAAATTTCTACGCCTGCGAGCGCGATGCAAGGCTGAAGGTCTCACATTAGCTCTCATACTCAATTCATTTGTTTTCCCGATAAAAATTATCATTCACGTACGGACTGAACCCTAGTAATTTGTCATCAGTTCAGTGAAAATACACACGTGTTCCATCCATCTTTTGAAGTGCATCCAAATGTGCGCTTGAGTTTTACTTCCTGGTTCTTGCTCCTGTGGCATTTTACACTGGACCACACATTTACTAATGTTTTAAAAGCCGAACAATTTGCGAACTTCATTCTAGAAGCTAGATGTGTGCCCGCTTTTGGACGCAAAGCAAAAGCATCCGCTTCCAGGAAGCGTTTCTTATGCGGAGGAAATAAAACACCCTATTCACGCGTCTCGATCTTGCATCTTCGGATAACCCGCACTGAGCGTTCACCTACCTTACCCTCGCCAAAAACATAATGCAGTGGACTGCCTTCAAAGTTCCAGATCGGTGAGAAGAAAAAATGTTAAGGAGAACCACTATTCTTTTGAATGAAGACAAATTATGGTTAAAAGCCGTAAATCACTCTTCAAGTTTTCCATCCTTTTAGGTATCCGCACCCATGGTCGTCAAACGTAAGTTTGCCTCTCAGAATTCGTTGCCTAAGCAGTCAAACAGTAGATAATCGGTCGGCTAGCATTTGGTAAGCGGTGATCAGTCAGTTGTCAGGTTTTAAATCTTTGGGTTTTTCGTAGGTATGCAAACTTTGTTTTTAATTTTTATTTTGGTTCCATTTTTAATTTATTACATAATGTCATTTTACCTACCCAGGCGTGAAGCTATCGCTAGATACAAAATTGGAAAAGCACTTATATATCGATTTTAAACTAAATAATCGCAAGCACAACAAAATCATTTAGCCGCAGCAATCAAACCAGTTTCAAATTTATGATGCGGCTTGCGCACGCCCAAAGATGTCTTTCATATCTTTTCAGGCATATTACAAATACACCATGTCTACAGGACAAAATTCATCAAAGACAAAGCAGTTTTCTTCTTTATTTATGCTTTGCCTTGATCAGCCACTCGTGGCCGAACGGTTAAGTGTTCCAACTGCTAGCCGGACGCTCGCGGGTTCGATACTTTTCGGAGTTTCGTGAGATGCGCACTGCTGATGATTCCCAATAAGGATGAAAGAGATGTACAGTGCTTCTCGGCTTTTCAGCATAGATTGTCTTCACTTACAGGACGGACTCTTCGCTTCGTACTTTCTAAGTTACATTTTTGCATCACAAATCTTTATTTAGCAAATGGTGTATGGACTATATCAGCTGACAAGTCCGAAAAGGGATATAGACAAACCCAGCTAAGTGCCTCATAAATCAGCCAAATGAACCCATTCATCGCGGACAAAATTAAACAAGGAATGGAATGAAACCTCCCTTAGTGAAGTTTTTGAAACTTTTATCACTTTGCTGAAGTAAACTTCAAATCAACACCTGTTGCTAAAAATATTTAGCAAACAAAGAACACAGTTGTGGTCGGATATTTACATGATGGCGCTAATGGAGGCGCATACAATTGAAGTGAATAGCAGGGCAGACATAATTCGGAAAAACCGATGGAAATAGAAGTGAAATGACAAATACATCGCGCATGCATAGTAGCTTGTCGCTTCGTGTTACATTTCCTGATTGATGTCGGCCTTATTCAAACCTTGTTTGTTTGTTTGTGCATAATATTACAGTCATGCGCTGTAGAACATAACACCAGTGCAATCAGACGGCCACATGGTGAAATTTACAAAATATACACTTTAATTATGCGCTTTAGGATAACTTAATTTTGTATTATTTTATAGCGCGCTTAATTCCCATTGAATGACTCGGTCGCCCTGGATACTCAAAGAGAATAAATAGTGGCAGTCCTTGCGTAAAGCTAATGAGTCCATGTAAATAAACACAGTACAAAAGACAAGTGTCTAGGCTTAAAAATACAGGGAATTGTTTCTATCACTCTAATAAATGCACACTGCGGGATATTTTAATCGCATTAAATTGTAATTTTCTATTTGCGGCATATTCATTAAAATCTTCGCAGGAGACCAGCATTACGGATTCCAGATAAAAACAGATCCAAAGGAACTGAGCACTTACCAAGTCGAATATCAGGATTCGCTGGCACAAAAGTAAACATTCATCGGTGTTTTAATAAAAGCCACATAAATTCTGCACTTAAACAAACCATAACGCCTAATCTACAATGTCGTTCACCTTTCCCGCGAGTAAAAAACGTGGGAAGAAAAATTCACCGTTAGACAATGGTATGCGGTAGACGTTCAAAGCCATAAGGGTGAATATTTTCATGGGATGAGCCTCACCGTTACCACGCAAATCACGTTCCAACCATTGCAGGCGAGAGCAAATCTAGCAATCCAGCAAAATTATTTGGCTTCCAATATCAACGAAATTTACGGACCATGCCACAATTATGGGAATTTTACATAGCGTCATGGTCGAACGTTAAACATTTCCGTTTAAGCACTTTATCCCTGGATTATTTGACCTGGAAACTGTTGAAACAAGGATTATCGTTCACATCATACTGTTACTACAAAACACAAGCAAACAAAGCCACGTTTTCCTTCTTTGCGGTGGACTTATTTTTCACTTTGAAGCACTCATATAGTTCAGTCGTAGCGCCCATCATAAATTGCAATCAAAATAATTCATGTTTGTTAAAAATCGAGGCTATAAACAAAGCCTTTCCTTCTTTGCGGTGGACTTATTTTTCACTTTGAAGCACTCATATAGTTCAGTCGTAGCGCCCATCATAAATTGCAATCAATCTAATTCATGTTTGTTAAAAATCGAGGCTAATCGGACCAGTCGCGGGATGCGGCGCCATGAAGTATAGTGAGTGCGTATTGTTCGCTGGTGTGCGTAATGGAACAAAATAAGGCTCACATAAACATAACTGATTTAACGTACTGAATTCTTATTAAATACGGTCGTGGGTAGAGCTTTCACAATGATATTTTCAACAATATGTGCGGTCGCAATCTTAGCGTTGGTGATTATAATTTTTTTGGCAACAACGATCCATAGAATGTTTGATTTTCTGTTTCGCAGTATACCAAAGCCATTGAAACTTGCGGTTAGATAACACATATTCCAACCACTGGCCGAGTTATTATCATTTGTCAAGTTATTCACTCCTCAATCGGCTGCTAACGCGCTTTAGCTCCAACATCTATTGTGCTTACGTACCAGATAGCAATGATTTTCTATTTTTCGCGTGGAACAATGCATCCACCTCTTTGTGCACCATTCTTGTTGTTGGAAACTACATTTTTAGTGAAAACAATGTCGAACAGGAAATATTTAATTCGTAAATATGTTTTGCAAATTTGAAAAACCTTTCCGGTATAAAGATAATTGCACGCCCCAGTGGGTTTAAATTATTTCTGGATTGATCTCACAATGAAGCGAACACCGATGTTGGATACAAAGACCGGCCCAAGGTTGGTACAGATTAAACACGTGCATTTGGTTCCAATACCTATTTTTCTAATTTGTGCCCACTTGGTCTTCAAACCCTGTTTTTTTCCAATCATTTGATACCAAATTTTTAATGTCCGATCTGAGTTGTTGTTTTGCATGTATGAAATATTCTGGGCCAAACTCAACACTGCATCATAGAATCCGCCTGAATTAATTTTTTGACAACCCTGCTAACCTGAGCAAGAGCCATCTCGTTTTTCATATTAGTTTCAGTTTGTTTTCGCTAAAAAAAACACCGCGGTGCGTGTCTTTTTTGCCATTGCTGAGTTGCCTTTCGGATCACAACGCACCAAGCAGAACAAGCTATAAATTTCGGTCAGCAGCGTGCAATTTACCCTAGTAATAGAGAACATGGGTACGAGTGGCTGAATTTCAAACAAAGGAACCACCGAATCTCCCTGGATGCGTCCTCCCTCCCGCGTAATATGCTACCTGTCTGCAGCGGCTAGGAATTTCGTACTGATTAATGGTCTCACATAGTCCTATGTTGAAATCGAGGCAGACAAGCCCAAAGCATTCACAAAAACATATGTAAGCCAGATGCATGAACCATCTTAGGATCATATTCTAATTCCTCTCCACAAATTATGGTCCTCAGAGTCACACTACGAACTTCATACTATTATTTGCCAGATACTACGCACACTTGTATTCCGTCATTTTTGCAGTCTTGACATAAAAGATTACGCACAATTGATGGTGATAGACAAAATGTTTTAAAAACAATACATGTGACCTCATGATGTCAACTTGATTGGCTGGCC